ATTTAGGGGGTTGCATTTAGGGAGGTCTGACTGTATCAAGTTTTTATACAGTATAATATCACACACTTTTGATTTACATAGTACAGTATATCGCGCATCAGTGCGTCACAACACATGCACAAAAATATAAAATTCATTGAACATTGTCCAAATGTTCGATATAATGATAAGAGATCTCTGAAAAATAATCGTCTAATTGTAATTTTTAATACGTATATACATATACTTATACGTATACGCCATTTATATTAATATGATACCTGTACAGTATGTACAGTACGTATAGTTGTATAGTGTGTATGACATACGTAATATACATAAATACACGTAGTATTGATAAATCAGTTATAACATTGCAAGGAACAATTTTTGTTAGAGTGCAAAAGTCAGTTTCATAGTCAAAAATTTGAGATAGGGATACTTTCATGATTTGTTCTAGAATATTCTAAAAAATTGATATTATATAAAAATTAAATATTTTTATATGTTCCCTTAATGTTTGCCCGTGAACATTTCTGATAATATTTTTATGATGTAATTATCGTGAAAATATCGAAAAATATTCCACGGTATGACATAATCAGTAAAAATTTTATTAGAAATGTTACAGGCACAGATATACATATAACAAATTAATAATTTTTTTAGAAAAAAAGATAGTGATAGTTAATTTTGATAGTAAAAGAACAAGTGAATTTTGGTAGTCGCGACAATATTTGATAGTTATAATAAAAATCTAATAGAGATTTTAACCTTGAACATGAATATTATCCGCAAGGATCAGGCTAATTTAATTTTGATGATGTCGGAAAATTCCCTAGGTTTCTGGGATTCAAAAATGTCCTTAAACATTAAAATTGGCCGTATCCTTATTGAGTTATGCACTTTTTTATTTGCGATCGAATTTTTAATAGTAATTTAATATTAAAAGGTCGATCGCAAATACGTAATTGTGTGACTAAAAAAGTGCATAACTAGGGTTATTTTACCGTATAATTACCGTATAATTACTGTATAATTACCGTATGGTTAACTTTGTTACACTACCAATTATACGGTTATTATACTATTTTTATTATACGGTATCGTATAATTGTCCATCCCTATCGCTATGCATAACTCAATAAGGATTACAGCAAGTTTTAATGTTTAACATTTTTGAATCCAAGAAACCTAGGGAATTTTCCGACATCAATCATTAAATTATCCTGATCCTTGTGGATACTTATTCATGTTCAAAGTTAAAATCACTACGTATTAGATTATAATAAATCGTGATGCAGATCAGATCGAAATCATGTGACCCAATTTCGATAATATTCTGGTGTCAGCCAGTGTAACTATTTATCGCCTAAGAATAAAAAATATACGTAAATAGATTAATTTTGCTATTAACAAAATTTTATTACTTGCTCACGTTGAAGTTCGAGATTTAAATCGAAAAAATATTAATGAATAAAATTTTAAAGTTCTAAGTACGTATATAAAAATCTCGTGTAACAATGCTTTTTACAATAGAAATAATCAACCAATCAAAGCAAACTAGACTTATGCCAGTATTACATCATTATTTAATTATTTTTTCAAACCTTACGCGGAAAATGAAATTCAATTCTATATCGATATGGGCTTTAGCTTAATTAACATAATATCTTGTGATAATTATCGCCAATCAATCAGATTTAATGTCCGGAGCATTAAGTACACGTCAACTTTTGCCAAAAACGGTCGTATACATCATCTGTTTTTCCCTTAAAGTGGGAAGTTACATTTATCTGATGTCGTTCAATCGTGCAGAATTGAACTTTATCTATAGAAAACAATTAGAAGTATGTACTATATAAAACTAAATTACTGCTCAGTATTTTTTAAAGTTTTAAAATCTCGATTCCCAATTTTTAGATCCAAGATGCCACAACTCGCTGACAGTCCGTCTCCTACTTCTCCAACTTTTGATGGGAAGGTGACCAGACTTATAGTAGTTTCTAACCGTTTACCGCTCACCATCACAAAAACGGATAATGGCTGTACCTTCAAAATGTCTTCTGGTGGCCTGGTGAGCGCGCTCAGCGGCCTGAAAAAAAGGATGTCTTTTACTTGGATTGGATGGCCTGGTATGTCCTTTAATTTTTT